GGGTCCTGGTATACCCCAACCATAGCAGCCTTCATCAGACTCCAAAATCCCCACTTGCAGATATTGGAGAAGAGTCTAGTCTTCCTTGCTTCACCTCCCTGAACTTCTTTTCAGCCTTAGTGTGTGTGGTTGGGGATGGGGAGGGTCCCTTGGTCAATAAAAACTTTCTGAGCAACAAGCAACACATTAGGCTCTGAGACTTCACCTTGAATTTACCTTGTAGTACAATTGGGAGGGTGTAAACTCCAAAAATTCTTTGAGAAAGAGGCTATAATAGAGACTCTATATAATAGACTCGTGTTTCTTAGAGAAAGAGAGAAAGTTTATATTTATTTTTCTATTTTTAAATTGTTATATTTTTATAGTTAGGATCCTGTCCAAGCCTGAGGTCTGGGTGGAAGCCCCTTTGGGGCCACGAAAGGGCACAAGGCCACAGATGAAGCCTCAGTTCACTACTCCTGGGTGGAAGGGCCTTGGGACCTGAGACAAACCCTGAACCACACTGTGGTGCCCTCCTCACCCCATGCTCCACCTGGGGTGTCTGCTGAGTCACACCCCTCCCTGCAGGGAGCTAGGTGGGGGAGACTGCTCTTTAAAATAACTGTTACAGGGGTGCCTGGGTGACTCAGCAGTTGAGTGTCTGCCTTTGGCTCAGGGCGTGATCCTAGGGTCCTGGGATCAAGTCCCAGATTGGGCTCCCCACAAGGAGCCTGCATCTCCCTCTGCCTGGGTCTCTGCCTTTCTCTCTGTGTCTCTCATGAATAAATAAATAAAATCTTAATAAATAAATAAATAAATAAATAAATAAATAAATAAATAAATAAATAAAAATAACTGTTATGCTGGCAAAGCCTGCCAGTTCCAACTGCCGCAGAGGGGGTTTGTGTCTTGCAGAGCTGGCTCTAAGCAGAATTAAAGGGAACAGTCATGGCCAGAAAATCTATTCTCCTCATAGTCTTCAGATCTTGAGAAGAGGGTAGCCGCAGAGCAGGGAACGATATGTACTCACTGCACCAGACATTTGGGGTGACCCTCTCATTTTGCAGGTTGGGGTAAGTGGGTACCATGGGCCTTGCTGGCCCACCTGCACCAAAAGGAGTGGATTCTTCACTCTCCCTTCATTTTCTTCCTTGATATTTGCGTCCCGCTGTTTATGTCTGGCAGCAACCAGGCAGAGAACCGGGGATAATTGTTCTAACTCCATGTGGGTCTCACTCTCCTCTCCAAGAAGATGTAGGGAGTGGCACTGCCCAGCTCAGAAGGCCATGCCCAGGGTGGGATGAGCTAATGAACTGCTTTATAAGTCGCAGGACTCTAAACAAAGGTTAATTGTTTTTACTCTACTTATCTATACTTTCAGGGTACAGTGTGAAGGCATCTGCTTCAAAACTCAGTGCAGGCATTATGTGAAAGCACACACGGGCTGGCCCACACTCAAGGTTGATACATGAAGCCTGGGACTCCTCGTGGGGCCACAGCGTTACACGAATAGCTTGGGGATGCTGGTTATCCGTCATCATCTCCAGGGATGAAACGCTGGTCACCAGTGGGGAGGAGCCCCCCTTTCAAATGTTTTTCCTTTCTCACCCCACCTCACCCCACAGTGCTCCCTCATCATCAGCCTCCCTGACTCACCCCCACCCTACCTTTACTGACTCCCTGCTCTCTGATCCCAAACCCTCAACTTTCAAGATAACATACCATAAAAGCACGTAGAGATGAAAATGGGTGATAGGGCTGAGTTGCAAAATGAGAGCACTCAGATTTAACCTCGGAGAGAATATCTAACGCGACACTTCTGCTTTACAGGGAGGCACCCTCTACTGGGGTGGGGGTGGGGGTGCGGGGTGGGGTGTCCCCACTTCTCCCCACTCCTCATGGACCTGAAATTTTATCCACCCCAGAAGGGGGGTGCCAGGCCTCTGTGGAAATGAGCCCTTCAGGGCTCTTGCCTCAGCCCTTCCATCCCCCTTAAAGACATCATGAATTGCTTTCAAGTTTAAACAATAAAATAATGCCGTTTAAAACAGGCCAGGATTCTTCTCCCACCCAATGCCCCCAGCAAAGAAAAATGGCTCAAATGGTTCCAAGTCTTTGCTCGCCCACAACTCATCTTTGGAGCCTGTCTCCCCTGTTTCGGGTGCTGTGAGGCCTGACAGACAACTATCATGGCACCCAAGCCTGCTTCCACGCTCACCGACCATCTCCCAGTCTGGGCTGGAGCCTCTCTGAAGACTGGCCATGGTTTCTCGACGTCTGAGGCATACACACATACTTATGCTCAATACTGTTGAATGAGTGAATGAGGGGGGTAGAGCAGTGACAATAAGCAACCTAGAGTTTAACGTTGAGATGTTGACTATGGAGAGCCCCTTAGAAGCGAAAATATCTGACAGAAATATTTCCTTACCCTGATTTGGAAGAAAAAAATCTCCAATTTCCAGAAGCAAAAGCATCTTCCTCCCCTAGACCCAGGGGACTGAGTCACTAGACATCTCAGAGTCGCCCACCAGGAACCGGGACGAATCCTCCATGAGCAAGTCGCCTTCATCAAGAACACCTAGTCGCTTGCTCTTGGTCACCCTTAGACCTTCTTCCTTTCCTTTTCTCCCCTGTTGGAGTATGGACATAGCATCTCTTTTATTTTCTTAGGGACCAGCCAACAGAAAACCATACTTTCCACCTTTCCAGAAAGATTGGGAGAAACCATCTTTTCCTCACGTCCTGCCTAGAGACCTGGGGTCCCAAGATTGCCTATGTGTTTGGGACAGAAACCCAGGGACAATCAGGAAGCAGAGGAGAGAGTGGCTGAGTACCTGGGTCTGGGGTGCTCAGGGGCCTTTGGGCCCAAGGGTTGTGCTGCCACCCACACACCCTGCTGCTCCATCACCGACCTATGCTCCCCGAGCTTTGCAAACCACTTTACCTCGGAGAGCCCAAAGGACCCCGTAAAGGAGGCTATAGCCAAACACCCAAGGAATCCCAGCCCCAGCACAGCTTGGTTCTGGTGGGGTCAGGCCGAGCACGCAGTCACCTCTAGGGTAGCATTAGGTGGCACAGGAAGGCCCCAGCTCCAAAATACATTCCACACGAATGCCTGAACTGTTGGTGACTGATTCACCCCTCTATTCACTGAACAAAGATTTACCTAATGCTCCCCAGACTAAGCCCTCCCCCGTTCAAACAGCAATGGTGTCTGTCCTCAAGTGAATCGAGGAAGAGCAGCGAATTCTGACACGAATGCAGGGCGAGGCTCCCGGCACTGCGGGGAGGGCCTCGCTTTGGAGCGCGGGTTGGCGGGTTGTTGACTTTCACGTCCTGCCGTCCAAGCCGGCTGGTGACCGGGGCCAAGCTACTCAACCTGTTAGAACCTGTTTCCTTATACGTCTCCCGGCGATGATGATAGTAACCGCTTAGCCCTGGTGGCCAGGGCTCTGCGACACACGTGTGCAGCCCCAGGACAAGTACTGAGAGCTTCTAGTAGGACGTGAGCATGGGAGTGCAAAGGAAGTGGCAACGACAAGCGCCTGGAGGCTCTGAGGAAGGTTTCGGAGGGGACGTGGCATCTGATATGGGTCTTGGAGGACGGGCAGGAATTGGCCAGGCAGAAGGCAGGCGGGTGGGTGGCAGGGAGAGGGAACAGTGTATGCAAACTACTGAAGCAGGACACAGCAGAGTGTCTCCTCAGAACCTGAGAGGTTCCGGCCTTCAAAGACCGGGAACGTCGGAGGGCTGAGGGGATGCACCCACTCGCTGTTCTGTTTTCTCTACAAAGCCTCACGTCCACCTTCTTTGCTCTGATGACGCGGTGACCTTCCTACGTCAAAGTACAACAGCCCCTCCCCGCCGCCCTGCTGGGCCCCTTTCCTGCTCTGTTTATCTCCAAGGTATTTATTGTCACAGATGATATCCGTTTGCTTATTTTATTTATGCACCTTCTCAAGGCGCTCATCCCCCTTCCCTCATCAACACGGACGTAGAATGGAAGCTCCCTGAGGAGAAGGGTCCCCGTGTTCTCCTCATGGCCGCATCCCACATGCTTGCCTGGGTGCCTGGCACAGAACTAAACTGACAGGAAGTCGCTGGCTTCATTCGACCTCTCTTTGTTTGCTTCCCTCAGGGGGGCCAGCTTGCCGTTGGGCTCCCATGTTGAACAAGACAGGGTCTCTCCACTCCTGGAGCCCAGTTGGCCCTTCTGGAGAGGTCTCCCGAGGCCTCCTGTGATGGCTGTTGAGAGACCCACTGAGGAATCTTGGCTGTTCCCTTTGACTTTTCCTGCCCACTCTCTAAAGGGTTTCAAAATGTAAACACTTCTGGGGCTGAGTCCACTTTTAAGCAAATCTTCCTTTTGTGCGACTAAGAATGTGTGTCTCGTGCAGGTAGAGGTGACTTTGGGAATCCAAGGAGGCTGCCAGGTGCCTGGGGGGAGGAGATGTTGAAAGGACAGGGTGGGGGTTCAGGAATGGAGGCGCCCAGAGACACATAGCTTCTTTCACAACTTGGCCTGGGGCGGTTCCTGTGATTGGGTGTCTCCACCAAGAATGTCCCCAGAATTCCAAAGTCGTTTTTAGATGTTTTCTTATCCTGTGTTCGATAGCCTTCAATAAAGTAAGTTTAAGATTGGGAAAACAAAAGGGGTTTGTGTAGCTAGCTTTTTTAGGCCTGGTGCTGAGGGGAACGAGGGCCAAAGGGTTTTTTTTTTTTTTTAAATTTTTTTGTTTGTGAAATATCACAAAACATAAAAAAGAATAGCTACAAAGGAATAGCCTACTAGACACTCATTTACCAGTTAAAAGCCCACTTACCCAGGTTTTTTTCTTAAGCTAACGCTGGACTTTACTTGCCTTTTCTTAACTTGGAAAACAATAAGTAATTACACAACTAAACAACAAATAATGCCAAGAAAAAAATGAAAAGATTTAATGGCAGGTATTTACATGCTTATAACAGATAAAAGAATAACTATTCCAGAATATATAAATAGCTCTATGAATCAATAAGAAAAAGAGAACCCCCTTCTGGTTGTTTTGTGGCAACTCCCAATCTGGGTGAGTCTCCCCAAGTTTTCCTTCCCTCTTCTCCCCTCACTACTGTCTGCACCACTCACACCGGAAGTTCACACCTCAGGGCAGAAGGAGCTTGAAGAGAGAAGACTCCAATTCCTTTCTCCTCATCCTGAGTCCCATCCCCCACAAAGCAGGGCCCAAACAAGATGAGGCAAATTGCTGTGGAAATCTTAAGTGCCATTTCTTTATACTTCCACCTCCTGACAGGGAAAAAGAATGCTGGCTTGTCCCTTGCGTCTCCTTGTGAAAGAGAAGGGGCATGGTTAGCGTAAGAATCGTTTTTAACTTCTCAAGGCATCAGTATTTCCGTTTAACCAGTGGAAAAAACCAAGCCCAGAAGGATCAAATAGCATTTAAATGTCCCACAGGTAACAAATACACAAATAGCATTTGAATCCAGGACCATGTGATTCCAAAGCTCGAGCTTTCCCCCCTAAACCATGCTTCTAAGAAGGCCATGATTTCATCTGGACTTCAAGAAGGGAGTGTGTCTGACAAATCAACACCATGTGAACCAGCAGGACGCTGTGACAAGGCCCGTGCCAGGCGGTGGAAGTGGGGACACGGGTGGACCTAGGAGGGGAGCCCCATTTTTCTTCCTGTGAGCATGCCATGTGCAACGAAGGAAGGAGAGCTGGTAAAGGTCAATGGGATGACTGGACACCGGGAGGTTACTAGCCCTGACTTGGAGTGCAGGAAAATCTGTTCTTGCCTGGTGTTGTCCACAGAGCCCTCCTACATAGTGGGCATGCAAGCTGGTGTTTGAGAGCCAGCTTGGCAGTTCTGCAGACTAGAATTCATCCTTGCTCTGCATCTTGGCAGTTGTGTGAGTTTAGGCAGTTCACTTAGCCCAAGTCTCGGTTTCCTCTGATTTGCAAAGTAGGACAAAAACATTGTCCACAGGAGGCCATTGAGACATTAAAAGAGGTATAAAGTGCCCAGGGCAGGGCGTGGCATGTAGTAAGCTTTCAATAAAGAGAGGTTATATTCATTTTATCAATTAAGACCATAATTTGGCAGAGAGGGATTATGAGATGCAGAAATTCATTCATTTATTCAGCAGCTAGTCGTTGAACACCAGCTGTGCCATAGACACCCGGGTTGGATCTTTGCTGTGTACATCAGTGAATGGTGCAGACTGAGATCCTTGCTCTCTTGGAGATGTATTCTGGAACAGAGAGGCAGACAAGCAAAATCATAAGTAAATGATAAGTTTATTTTAGTAATAAACTGAAACGTGATATGTGTCCGGAAAAAATATATAAATAGAGGCTCAGGTGGCTATGCAAGTCACATATTTAATGTGGACACTCGTATCAGCTGAACCATCACCAATGAATGCTAACACTGGTAGTGGATTTGGTTGGAAGCTAATATCCATCTTGGAACCTGACCTCTTCTTTGGTAATAGCACATTGTGCTTTCTCTAATCATCCCAGTGTCCTGGATAAAGCCATCTCCTCACTCACTGATAATTAAGGGAGACCTTGAAAATTCTAGATGCTGCTTCCAGATAAATGGGTTTTTAAAAATATTTATTTATTTATTTGTTTGTTTGTTTGACAAAGAGAAAGAGAGCATGAGCAGTGGCAGAGGGAGAGGGAGAAGCAAGCTCCCCACTGAACAGGGAGCCCCGATGCGGGACTCAATCCCAGGACCCCGGGACTGTGACCGGAGTCAAAGGCAGATGCTTAAACGACTGAGCCACCAGCACCCCTAAATGGTTTATTTTTTTTTTAAGATTTTATTTATTTATTCATGACAGACACAGACAGAGAGAGGCAGAGACACAGGCAGAGGGAGAAGCAGGCTCCATGCAGGGAGCCCGATGTGGGACACGATCCTAGGCCTCCAGGATCACGCTCTGAGCCAAAGGCAGATGCTCATCCGCTGAGCCACCCAGGCGTCCCTAAATGGTTTATTTTTTATCGTCGTTTTGTTTGCAACAAGAGTAGCATCCAACGGTTATGTTGCTGACTGCATTATTAAAAACTAAAAACAAAATCCAAAGCTAAAGGTGTCAGCGATGGCATTGTTGTATTGGTGGTTGAGGAGAAAAGCATCTCATAAGTTGAAAGATCTTCTGAAAAAAAGAATCAATCTTAGAAACTCCAGGTTGGAAGGGACCTATAAGGCTCTGCTCAAGTTCCAAAGAATGAAGTGATTCAGACATGACCAGTTTGAATTGAACTGTACCGGGCTAGAGCTCCATCTCCTAGGAATTATATAGGTTGATAGAAGTTGATATTCAGAAAAAAAGGAAGACATGTTTATCAATAGATTTTCTTGTGAACACTTGCTAGGGGAGAAAGGAGACTTGCCTTCACAAAGATGCTACTAAGAAGGCTCGTGGTGGGACATTGTTTTCTTTTTTTCTGTTAAATACCTCAAGGCATGAAGAGCTGGGAGAGATGCTACCAGAAGCAGAGCAGGGAGGCCAGGCCCACAAGACTGGCGTCTGTCTCACTCTTCCTATTGGGGTTGACTATGAAAACTTTCAAACACATGGAGGAGTCGAGAGAGTACTGTTAGGGAATATCCCCTCCAACCCAAACTTAACATATTTCAATGACATTCCTTATTTGTTTCAGATATCTAATATGGATAGGTGGTAAGTAGACTTAGATGTAACTAATATCCCCTTCGTACTATTCTCTAGGCTTCTTCTCTCTTCCCAGAAGTAGCCATCGTACTGAAGTTAGTACATACACTTCCTGTCTGTAGGTTTATACTTTTGCTAGTATACATGCCTACAATCGAAATGCAGCGTTGTCTGTATGCTTTTAAAATTTGCATAAATGGTATCATACGTGGGACCCCTGGGTGGACTCAGTGGTTGAGCGTCTGTCTTTGGCTCAGGTCATGACCCAGGGTCCTGGGATCAAGTCCCACATCAAGGCTCCCCATGGGGAGCCTGCTTCACCCTCTGCCTGGGTCTCTGCTTCTCTATGTCATTTATGCATAAATAAAATCTTTTAAAAAATGGTATTATATGTCATATATTTTATCCTAGCTTTCAGGATCTCTTTGAGGTCTGCTGATGTTATTATAGTACTAGTTTATTAGTACTTTTTCTAAAACAGTGACCAGTTGGATTTCTGACCCCTGGGACACATTTGGAAGGTTAGCGAGACATATTATTCCAGATTGTGTCTCTCTAATGAATTCTTTACCTTCCTTATTCATCAAACTGTCAACTCCCTAAGATCAAAATGCCAGTGTAGGAGGTGAAATCTGCTGAGACAAGGACAAGAGATACTTGAAGAAACTACCTGAATGGCAACTAAGCCATTAAAATGTAAGGTAAAGGAAGAAGGGAACAGTGAGCTTCTTTAGACACTTTTTGACCTCTGTCTCTTGGGATTTTTTTTTCTCCTAACCATCCCTGCAGAAGCAACTGATATTTCAAATATTTCTACCATAGGTTAAATTCACCTGTTTTAGACTTTGTGCAAGTAAAATCCTACAGTATGTGCCCTTTTGTGTTATGCTTTTTTCATTCAGCATTTTTCAGATGCATCCAAGGTGTTCACAGGGTCATGGTTCATTCCTTTTTTATTGCTGCATAATGTTTTACTTTATGGAGATTCCAGTTTGTTTCTCCATTGTCCCATTTCTGGACACATGGGTTGTTCCTAATTTTTGGCTATTAGGAATAATGCTGTATGAACAGTCATGTATATGGTTTTTTGGTGGACATATGTTTTCATTTCTTTTCAGTAGTTACCTAGGAGTAGGATTGCTGGCTCATATGCATGTATTTAACTTTATAAAGCACTGCTGTAATATTTTCCACAGTGACTGTATCCTTTTACATTCTACGAGCAATGTTTGAGTTCCAGTAGCTGCACATTCTTGCCAACATTAGCTATTGCCAATCTTTAAATTTTAGCTGTTCCTGTGGGTTTGTATTTCATTGATTTTTTTTCCCACTAAAAACTTAGGAGTGAAAACTAATTTTAAAAATAGCAGGGTGGGGCACCTGGGTGGCTCAGTGGTTGAGCGTCTGCCTTTGGCTCAGGTCATGATCCTGGGGTCCTGGGATCGAGTCCTGCATTGGGTTCCCCACAGGGAACCTGCTTCTCCCTCTGCCTATGTCTCTGCCTCTCTCTGTGTCTCTCATGAATAAATGAATAGAATCTTTTTTTAAAAAAAAGAAAAAATACTGGTGAAATTTATTGTATGTGAATTATACCTCAGCAAACCTATTAAAGAAAAACTTCAGATGAAAAAAAAAAGAAAAAAAGAAAAGCAGGTTTATAAATGACATATATATTTGAAATATATTTATATATATTTTGAGGAAAGGTATTCAAGAAAATCTAATGAATATCATTCGAATAATATATTTACCTCATTGTATGCAAAGACCCAAATTTAAAGAATGATGCCACTGTATAGCTTTATAGCAGTTCTAAAGTTTTATGTTTCTAATAACATCCCTTCAAAATATCTCCTCATGATTTTACTTTGCTTTTCTCTGCTGACGAGATGTTGAACATCTTTTCATGTTTGTATTCATGTAACTTCTGTGAAGTTATTGTTCAAATCTTTGACCAATTTTAAAAAATTACGTTCTTTGTCTTATTGAGTTGTGTCTTTCATAAATTGGGTCAGATATATGTTTTGCAAAAATATATCCAGTCTTGTGGCTTTTCCTTAAAAGCAATAATTTTTAGGCTTGATGAAGTTCATTTATCATTTTTTTCTTTTAGAATTGGTGCTTTTGTATCCTGTTTAAGTAGTCTTTGCCTAATCTAATGTCACAACCATTTTCTTCTAAAAGTAGAATTAGTTTTAGCTTTTACATTAAGGCCTATGATCCATTTTGAGTTAATATTTGTAAGGTATAAAGTGAGGGTCAAGGTTAATTTTTTTCCATACAGAATATCGAGTAGTTCCAGTACTTATTATTGAAAAGACTCTTTTCTCTATTGAATTATCTAACTTGGCACCTTTGTTGAAAATTAATTGACCATATAAGTGAGGGTCTATTTTTGGAGAGTGTATTCTGTTCCAAATAAAAGTCATTTTCTTTTTCCTATCCTTGCCAGTATTTTGAAATTACACTATTTAAAGAGCTACTTGTTCATATTTATTCTTGCGTTTCTGATAAATATTTCCTGACTCTGGTTACTGTCTGTAGCAATGGTCAGGCATTTGGTCTTTTCTCCTATCACTTCCCATCTTTCCCGTGCCCTCGATCAACACTTCAGACATGTCCATTAGCTTCTGTGGCTTCAAACTAATTAAAAAGTTGACTTACCGCAGGTTCTTACTCTTGTATTTTTCTAATCCTTAATAGATAATGAAACTACAACAGGTCTGATGCCAGCGACAATAGCTAACAGTCTATCATATATGTCATCACTGGTCTAAGCACATTGAAAGTTGTTTAATTGTTCTAATAACCTTATGAAGTAGGAATTATTATCCTTTACAGAAGAGGAATCTGAAGCCCCGAGGGGCTATGTAATTTGTCTAACATCATACACACAGTAAGTAGCTGAGCTGGGATCCACACCCTGTCTGTCTCTAGAGCCTGTAAACTGTACCAAAATGCTAACTTACAAAATCACCTGTCAAATGACTTTAGCTGTAGATTGCATGCCATCTGTACTATTTTTAGTTAATATTTTTCTATTAAGTGGAGCTGTAAGGGATCTTAACATTTTTCAGATGAGGAAACTAAAATCCAAAGAAATCAGCTGGAAGGAGAGCCAGGCCCTAGCCTGAGAGGCCGGAGGGCTTTTTCTTTGCCCATGCTGCCTTCCTGGACTTGGGGACCACCTCGGTTTGGATTCCACTGCCCCGGGGTATCTCCCAGGGATGAGGTCTCCAGGATGTGTCACTCTGTGCTTCAGAGAACTGCATCCCACCCTTTAGCCTCCCTGCACCACTCACCAGATCATACAGACCTCTCCTAACAAGGCCTACTCTCAACTACCTGCCATGGCGGGAAAGAGTTACCCAATAAACTCATCCAGTGTTCTCCAGGCATATTCAAACAGACTTTTTCTGAGCTCTACTATGGAGAGCATTGTGTTAAACTCTGAGACTATAAGATATAATTGCATGCCCTCCAAAGGCTTATAAATACCATCAGCAAATAATATTCATTAAGTCTCTAAAGTGTTTCCATACAGAATGATTTTTATACACATAACT